TGATTGATATTCGATTGGTGGTGTAAACAAGACGCATCTGGGGTTGTTTGGGATTGAGAAGAACTAGACAGATGGGAAATAGGTTTTTCCGAATGGGTGCCTAAGACTTTAGGGCACGACATACTTCGCGGCAGCCCACACCGACGAAGGGGTTTTTCTTTAGGAACCCTAACTGGAGCCTTTGACTCAAAAGTCTAATCCACAAGGCAGTGGGGTATAAATCCAACGCGGGAGCGTGAACGAAGCACCCGTGTGGGAGCTTCTAGAGACCCGTCGCAAGGCCTTCGAATTTCTGTTAAGTTTGTTGTCCGCTGGTGCGTTGATTGTCGGTATCATCCATATATCTACTATAATGTGATAATCTTTCAATAGTTCGGCTCATCGTACTCCTTTCTAGCTTAGCCACGAAGATGTCAGCAACGAGCCAAAGTGGCGATCCCATGGCAACCCCGTCCATCTGAAGATAGATAGTACCGTCAAATAGAAACTGGACGTTACATGTGCAGCCTAATAATAACTCCTTTAGGTTTGTGACCGGAATACCAGCGTCTACATTCAGTGTTTTTATTTGTTCACAGATGAATTCCAGTCTCCAGTAGGAGTACATTAGTGAACAGTGAGACAAGATCTAAAGAAAACGTCGTCTTTTCTTGCAAATCCAGGTCTTCTTTTGTAGCTACAATCTGGAAACTGTCTCAGAGACTGTGTGGCGAGTTTCCGACGGTTGGGTTCTAGTTCTAGTAACCACTGCTCCGTTGTGCGATATGGTGAATTCACCATTGTCGGAAAAAATCGTATTGGAACTCCTTCGTCATGGATCTTAGGGAGACCATACAATCGTGGGATGATAGATCCACATGGTTTCATTCTCTTGAATGCAGCATTGTCTATGTGCCCCTGTAAATTTAGCGCCTTCAGTAGATCTGTGATTTCGCCCTCCATCTTTTCTATCTCACCCTTTTCTTTGGTACATCTAGAGAATTTCTTACCATCCGAAATTATGTCAGAAAGCTTCCGAACATAATCACTTTTGTTCATAATAACCACCCCGGTGCCTTTATCTGGTTTGAGCAGCATGATATCTTTGTTATTTCTGAGTTCCCCCAAAGCGTTTATATGCTGACGCGTATGCGGTCCGCGGTTGTGCATGTGAACCTTTCGGTACTTATAGCAGTTTGTCACTAGCAAACTTTTAAACCTTTCCAAATCCTCGTCTGAATTAGGTGTCAGATCCTACGTTTGACCCATCAGACTTTCGAATTGCACCTCCAGATCGATTTGGTTGACGGTCTTTGGGGAGAAACAAGACTTCCATCCCAGTGATAAGGCCTCCATTTCCATAGAAGATAGCTGCCTATCAGATAAATTATGCACGAATCTCTTTGGTTTATTTGGAAAAGTGGACATCTGTGCAACCTTATGGGAATCCCGTGATAAACGTTCTCGAAAGATCTAGACGCGACGCGTGCAGATTTGACTTACGAATTTGTCGAATTCCATTCGTTCATTCTCGGGTAAATCGTCCACAATATACCGCCGTTGTAAGATGTTCCGTTCTTATTCCGCAGTTTAAAATTTCTATGAATCGCAAACACTCAACATACGTCTCCTGAGGTTTTTTCTGTTTGGATAGATGCGACCTCGGCAAATTTGTTTCCAGAGACAACTGGGGTATTCATTAATAATCACACAATTATGTAAAAGGTCCACATGAATGTTAGGTTCCGCAAGGAAAATTTCAGGAACGTGTTTAGTTCCTTAATCACACAGGAATCCTTGAGCGATCTCAAAGGCTTGAATATTCCCATGATAGCATTGAGAAAACGAGTCGGTGAGCGAACAAGTGTTTTCGGATATTCCTAGTCATGCTCTTACATATAGTGGAAAAATTGTTACATAGTGATAGCTATTTGCTCAATTTAAGGTCATTGATCGGAGATAAGTGGCACATCATTTTAAGTTTTCCCCTCAGAACGGGGTCATCTGGCATGAATGTATGAGGCTGCTGGTGTCATTTTAGTTTGTGTGATGCTTTTTATATAGTTTGAAGTCTTGATCTAAGATGACGAGGTTACCAAAGTCGATTGCTAGGCTTTCGATAGTCTGCTTTGAAGAAGGGTATAGTATCTAATTGCCATCAGTGTTCTTTTCAACCGGATTTCTCTGTTTATTCCTTTTTCAACTTAATGATGTGTTTTGCTTAACAGGATTGGGTCATTATTAAGCACCTCATAGGTAATCTTTCGTTAATAAGTGTGTGAGTAAAAAATAACCGGTAAAGAACGCCTGACAAATTGTCAAGTGTTTTCCATTTCCCGGTTTTGACTAATTCACTAACTGGCAGCACAAGCCTTACTCCTATCCGGTTTCCTTTTGTCGGTATGTCAAAATTCATCATGAAATTTCACTATCCAGACATTCCCCAATTATTTTCAATTCCGAGAACATGTAATCAGGAGCGAACAATTGTTCCCATTGATTTCTTTCACCGATCTGTTCATAGTGTGTTTGTGGGCACGTGGTTCTTTCAATCGGATTACATCGGGGTTCTGACTTAATGATTCACCAGACAGTGCATTCGTTTCTATTCTTCAACTTCCAACCGAACGCTGTATCTCTTCATCAATATATATGTACCGGTCTGTAGATCAATAATAATAATTGTTCACCTCCAAACGTGTGTGCTGTCAGTTAAATTCCTACCTAATGACTTGCACTCAGTTGCGTCTTTACACTTGATTCGATTCCGTTTTATTTACTTCTCCCGTTTCATTTTAAACTCTATTGTCTTATCACTGTTATTCAG